TGAGACTGGGGCTCAGGTTCTGAGGGAACAGATGCTGAGCCCTCAGCTCCCCACAGTCCCTCCTGGAGAAAGGTCAGGTAAATGTAGCTGATGATGTGATGACACCCCAAGGTGGTGTCGCACAGTTAAGCCAGGGTTGGAGGAATGGCCTGGTGGGCTAGCCTCCGACCTCACAGGTGGGCTTTTGTGGCCGACAAGAGGCTGAGCTGGGAGTCAGAGTCCAGATACACCCAGGGAGTTGTCCATATGGCTTTCCCATGCCGTATGCAAGGCCTCTGGTAGGGTCTGCTCAGGGTGTGTACTCCTGGAATGGGGTGTGGAGAGGCCAAGTGTGTGTGCCTACCTGAGGTTGGCTGGACACTGCTGGAGTTTGTAGAGAGCCCAGACCTCCCTGCTTTTGCTTCTGCCTTCCCAGGTGGGATTTCCACCATACACCCATTGGCCCTCCTAGACTATGTCTGCATCTCGCACCCACTCTCCTGTCCTTACGGCTTTCCCCCAATTCCAGGGAAGCTCTACTCCTGTCATTCATGGGGAAAACCAGTGCTCCTGGGGACCTTGAGGACCCCTGCAGGCGGAAGCCAAGAAAAGAGGGTTCTTGGTTCAGCCTCGAGGCTGTGTGGCCTCTGGCACATGACCTGCCCTCTCTGAGTCACAATCTGCAGCTACCAAATGAGGTGGTGTGGTGGTGCCTCCTACTTTGGAGAGCACTGAATAGAAAGCACATGGGGAACCCCTGAGGGGATCCAGGGATCAGGCTGTGTTTGTAAGCGGGAGAATTTGGGTTTTAATTTGTGTTAATGGCCTCCAAAGGGGACTAAATAAATGGGTCTGGTTGTACCTTTTCCAGCCCAGTCTCATCAGCTGGGTGTGGCTGAGAAAGGAGATGGAGCCAGAGTGTCTGTCTAGAACCCCCCCACTCCGCTCCCCGTGTGGAGCTCCTACTCGTGGTTTGGGGAGTGGGGACTCTGGATGGTGAAGTGGAACAATGCCTCACATTTGTTAAGACCTCACAGGCCGGACACTGTGCTCAGTGTTCTTTGTGCTCATGCAGCTTTTAAAATTGAGATATAATTCACCTATCTTAAGATTCACCCTCTTAAAGGGTACAGTTTGGTGAGTTTTAGCATATTCACAATGCTGTACAACCATCTCCACTGTCTAATTCCAGAACATTTTCGTCACCCACGAAAGAAATCCCATACCCCTTACCTGTCTCTCCTTATTGCCTTTCCTCCAGTCCCTGGCAGCCGCTGATCTGCTTTCTTTGCTGTGGATGTGCCTATTCTAGACTGTTCGTGTAAGTGGAGTTCTGTAACATGTGGGCTTTTGTGTCTGGTTTCTTTGACTTAGCGTCATGTTTTAGACGTTCCTCTGTGCTGTAGTGTGTGTGAGTGCTTCATTCCTTTTTCTGGCTGAATAGTGTTCCCTTGTGGGGATCCATCACACTTTGTTCATCCATTCTTCTGTCCATGGACATTTAGACTGTTACCACCTTTTGGCAAGTGTGAATAATACTGCTGTGAACATTCATGTGCAGGTTTTTATTTGAGCCCGTTTTCCGTTTTCTGGGGTGTGTATACATGGGGTGAGATTGATGGGTCCTAGGGTAATTCTGCTTTTAATTCTCTGAGGAACTGCTGGACTCTTCCAAGGTGGCAGCACCGTTTTACATCCATGTGCTGGGTTTTACTAATTGCATTATCTCATTAGTTCTCACATCAGAGTCATGAGGTTTAGGTAGAATTGTTATCACTCTCACTTTTCTTTTCTTTTTTTTTTTTTTGAGGAAGGGAGGGATGAAGGAAGGGAGGAAGGGGGGAGGGAGGGAGGGAGGGAGGGAAGGGAAGGAAGGAATTCAAGCAATGAGAGAGACATTGCCAACCTGGATCTAGAGGTTTACAAGTTGATTTCTTTTTTTTCGAGTGAAGGAAAGACGAAAAAAATGAGTAAAGGAGAGGAAGAAAGAGGAAGAGAAAGAGGGAGAGTGAGTGGAAATATTGCTTTATTCTTAAAAAAAATGGGTATTAATAATGGCCAATCAATGTTTCATTTAAACCTATGAGTACGTGTGATGTGGTATTGACTAAAATGTTTATTTTGTGTATTTGAAGTGGAGCGCTCTATAAATATTTATTAAGTTTACTTGTTCCGGATCGGAGTTCGAGTCCTTGATATCCTTATTAATTTTCTGTCTCATTGTGTCTAAGTCTCTATGTATCTGGGTGTTAGGATCATTAGCTCTTGTTGTTGCATTGATCCTTTTACCACTATATCTTTGTTGCTTTAAAATCTGTTTTATCCGATACGAGAATTGCAACTCCTGCTTTTTATTTATTGATTGATTGATTTTTGCTCTCCATTTGGTTGGTAAATCTTTCTCCATCCCTTTGTTTTGAGTCTTTGTGTATCCTTGCCTGTGAAACAGCTCTGGATGTAACATGCCGTTGGGTTTTGGCTGTGTCTTTTGATTGGGGGATTTAGTCGATTTAAATTTAGGGTTACTGCCATTTGATGTTAACTGGCTGTTTTATCCATTCGTTGGTGTAAATTCTTCTTTATGTTGGTGCTCTTTACTTTTTGGTATATTTTTAGAAGGGCTGATACTGGTTGTTTCTTTCTGTGTGTAATGCTTCTTTCAGAAGCTCTTGTAAAGCAGGCCTGGTGGTAATAAAATCTCTGAGTTCTTGCTTGTTCATAAAAGATTTTATTTTTCCTTCAGTTGTGAAGCTTATTTGGCTGGATATGAAATTCTGGGCTGAAGGTTCTGTTCTTTGAGGATGTTGAATATTGGCCCCCATTCTCTTCTGGCTTGTAGAGTTTTTGCTGAGAGATTTGCTATAAGTCTGATAGGCTTGCCTTTGTGGGTAACCTGACTTTTCTCTCTGGCTGCCCTTAGTATTTTCTCCTTCGTTTCAGCCCTAGTGAATCTAACGATTATGTGCCTTGGGGTTGCTTTTCTTGAGGAATAATATCTTTGTGGTGTTCTCTGTATTACCTGGGGTTGAATATTGACCTGCTTTGCCAGTTTAGGAAAATTTTCCTGAATAATATCCTGAAGGGTATTTTCCAGCTTGGATTCATTCTCTCCGTTGCATTCAGGTACACCTATCAAACGTAAATTTGGTCTTTTCACATAGTCCCACATTTCTTGGAGACTTTGCTCATTCCTTTTTATCCTTTTTTCTCTAATCTTTTCTTCGCATTTTATTTCATTAAGTTGGACTTTGACCTCTGATATCCCTTCTTCTGCTTGAACAATTCGAGTGTTTAAACCTGCGCAAACTTCTCGGAGTTTCTGTATTGTATTCTTCAGTTCCATTATTTCACTCATACTCCTCTGTAAGTTGTCTATTCTCAATAGGATTTCATCAAACTTTTTTTCAAAGTTCCTAGTTTCTTTACGTTGGGCTACAACATGTTCTCTTAACTCACCGAAGTTTATTATCCATTCCCTGAAGCGATATTCTGGCATTGGGATGTGCTTGTTCTCCATCAAGCCTTGTTCCATTGTTGATGTGGAACTGTGATCATCTTTAGAGGGCGAGGCGTTCTGACTTTGAGTATTCTCAGCTTTTTTACTCTAGTTTCTTCCCGTCATTGTAAGTTTATCCTCCTGTGGTCTTTGAATTTGCCAACTTTCAGATTAGGTCTCTTGAGTGGGCGTCCAGGTTGTTAGTTCCCAGGGCCAGATCAGTGGCCTTAAAACTGATGGTGCTTTTCTGCCCAGGATTGTCTTGTCTGGCATCCTTCTTGTGTCCGTAGTGGGCGACTCTGCCTTCCTGGGGCTCCAAACCTCGGTCAGAAGGGGAGCCGGTCCCGTTTACTCTGTGCCGAGCGCTGCCGTGCTGAGGTGCCGTCACAGCCGCTGCGCCGGGCTCTGGTGTCGTGCTGGGGACCCTTGTGGGTCCTCCGAACCTGTTTACTCTGCTCAGAGAGCTGCCTCGCGGATGCGCCGGCGGAACTGCTGCGCCGGCCACAAAGGTCGCACTGGTGACCCGTGTGATTCCTCCACTGGGGATCTGCTCCGTGAGTGACCAGAATTTGTCTGAAAGTGTGGCGTCGTCTAGTTCTCCGCGCCTTCACTGAGAGCTGCAGTCACGAGATGTTAGCGATCGGCCATCTTGGATCCGAGGCCACCCTCACTTTTCAAATGGAAGAGTTTGAACTCAGAGGGTTTCTGCATGTAGCCACACAGCCAGTCAGTTGATGATTCTTTGGCCAGAGCTGGCTTTGATCACAAAAGCAGTCTATTCTCTTGGCCCTATTTGTGTCTTCAGGATGAGGTTGAGGTTCCTTTTTTTTTTTTTTTTTAAAGGCAGAGTCTCACTCTGTCGCCCAGGCTGGAGTGTAGTGGTGCAATCTCGGCTCACTGCAACCTCCACCTCCCAGGTTTAAGTGATTATCCTGCCTCAGCCTCTCAGGTAGTTGGGATTATATGCACATACCACCACGCCCAGCTAATTTTTGTATTTTGAGTAGAGACAGGGTTTCACCATCTTGGCCAGGCTGGTATTGAACTTCTGACCTTGTAATCCACCTGCCTTGGCCTCCCAAAGTGTTGGAATTACAGGTGTGAGAGGATAAGGCTTTTTGACTATGTTCATGTTTTATTCCTGGCACCTGCCACACATTGTCATTCACATACTTGTTTAATAAAATATCATTTTTTCCTGATCTTGGTGGTTTGATCAGCAGCTTGAGGGAGGCAGCATGTATTAGGGGCTCCTGTACTCTACAGGTTCTCACACTCCTGCTCAGGTCTGTGTTCCCCACTCTACCCCGGTTGTTGCAGAATCCCCACCAGCTTCTCATTCTCAAGCAGCCACAGACGCACTGCAGCTGGGATGAGTGGCATGACCTCTGCTGAGCAGAGGTAGCGTCAATTTCCAGCAAGTACTTACCATTAACTTTAGCTGTTCCCTCTCTCTCTCTCTCTCTCTCTCTCTCTCTCTCTCTCTCTCTCTCTCTCTCTCTCTCTCGCCCCCTCTCCTCTCTAGGCAAAACCAATTTATGGCGGTTGGCTGCTCCTGGCTCCAGATGGGACGGACTTTGACAACCCAGTGCACCGATCTCGGGTAAGGGCATCAGAGCCGACTCTCAGGATGGGAGGAACCAAAGAAGGGGGCACATCTAAGGGTGAACTGGCAGAATGGAAGAGGGAGATGTAGGGTTGAACAGTGGATCCTGGGGTGGCAGGATCAGCAGGGCTCCGCGCACTTGCACGTTGTACGGAAAAGGTCTCAATTATACATAGTTATGTGTAGTACTCCCTTCAGCATGAGGAGGTCTCATGTGGGTGTTCCCTGTTTTGTGGGTAAGCTTGACTCTGGGAACAGTCAAATGCAAGAGGCAAAAGAGCTGTTTAACAAACGTTTGTGTTATATTGAGCAGCTCCCGATTCCTTCCATGCCAAGGCCTGCCCCTATCACACCTCCCTTCCTCCTGAGCCAAGGGTTCAGCCCACTAGCACTAGTGAAGGTTTGGGGGCCCAGAAGAAGCCTTGGCTCACCTCTTACTAAATTATGCATTGCCCAGGGCAGGGCCCCGCTAGAGCTGGGACCACCATTGGCCTGACCTGTGGTTTGTTTCTCTGCTAAGAAGCCCCTCTGGATTTGACTCCAGTTAAAACACTGTCCTTCCTCACATGCTGTCTTACAGTTTTGCCATTCATACCCTATAAATTCAGTTCCCTCCATCCCCAGAAGCTCCCTCTCCCCTTCTTCTTAGTATCTGCTACTTACCCTCTCCCCACTGTGAATATTACATGTGGGGTAGGGGCCTTGGGCTGTGTATTCTCATGCCACAGGCCTTGCATTGTGTCTCTGGTCTTTGGGATTCCATCCGGAATGGGTTTTGATTTCAAGGGCAGCACATAAGACCCTTGGAAATGCTCCTGGGAAACACGTTCAGGTGGCCTCACACCCAGCATGGGGCAGCCTTCTACAAGGCCTCTTAGCAAGGCCCTTTGAGTCCCCACCCAGACGGGAGGACTCAGGAATCACTGGTCCAACCAGACTGCAGGTTCCAGGGAGTAGTTCCCTTTCCTAGTTTACATTGAGGTTGTACAAAATTGCCATTTCCAGCTTCTGATGGGATTCTTTATTATAAATGATAACTCTGGCCCAAAGCAGAGAGATGTGCTTTTATAGTCAGTTCATGTGGCCTTATTGCCAGTTAAACTTTGAGCATTGCTGGGCTCTTTTCTTTTCTTTTTTTTTTTTTTGGTTTTTTTTTTTTTTGAGAAAGAGTTGCTCTGTCACTGAAGCTGTAGTTCAGTGGTGTGATCTTAGTTCAGTTCAGTCTTAACCCAGGTTCAAGTGATCCTCCCACCTCAGCCTCCTGAGTAGCTGGGACTACAGGCATGTGTCACCATGCCCAGCTAATTTTTGTGTTTTTTGTAGAGACGGGGTTTCACCATGCTGCCCAGGCTGGATTGAGCTTTTTGAAATATTGAATATAGTCATGGACCCTTGATTTGGGGCTGGGAGCTGTGCCTGTCATTCATAACAAGGCCCACACAAAGGAAGACATACTCCTTTTCATTTCAGCTCCTGGTGGCATCTGACCACCATGGGCACTTCCCTGTGGTCTGGCTTTTGGATGGAGAGTAGAGGGGGGACACTCTGTGCCAGTTGGTCACTCCTTGGATATTGGAGTTATTTCCACTGGTCTTGCTGCTCCTCAGTTTTGATTTTCAGTAGCTCATTTCCCCTCAGTGAATTCTGGATCCTGGCTGTCTTTGTACCTCCTCTTTGCCAGTGGATCATCAGAACGATCTTTTGTGGTGGTTTCCCAGATTTTTTCAGAAGTGGTGAATCCGTGCCTTGGCATTCTTGGGTTATTCCATGTTATGTCAGATCATTCATCAAATAAATATTGACACATATCATGTGATGCATTCTGTGCTGGGCACCAGAAGGAATATGAAAAGGTAAACACAGATTGTTTCTGCTTCTGAGGAGCTTCCAAGTGTTTAAAAAAAAAGAAGCTTCTTGTTAAGCCTCGATCACTAATGTGATTTTGGGCCTTTCTCCCAGCCCAGTCCTGGCTGATGAGTCAGCATTCTTAGGCATCGGGTCCCTCTTTTTCTGCCACCTGCCCCAGAAGTGGAATCTGTAGAACCGCCTTCCTTAGATACGGGCTTGTTAGACATGGGAACTCAATAAGCCAAGCTCCGGGGCCAGGACCCAGATCCTCCTAACCACCCACCTTGTGCTCCTTTGCAGAAATGGCAGCGACGGTTCTTCATCCTTTATGAGCACGGCCTCTTGCGCTATGCCCTAGATGAGATGGTAAGTGTCATCCTCGCCCACTCCCTGTCCCCAGCCTTCGCCGGTTCCCTCCATCACAGTGTCCTTGCATTGTTGTGTAAGAGCACAGCAGCTGTGTGCTCCCACTTTTGTCTGTTTGGAAGTCTGGAATGTTTTGAAGAACTTGTGGCACCTTGCAAAGACCGCCCTAAAAACCCAGACCTTTGAAGCATCATCTTCTGTGGTCTTGAGTGAAAGGAAGAAGTGAGGGAGGAAGTCATTTCTGTTCAAGGCTAATAGTGTGGACTTGGCTGGAGCACTCCTGGTTAGGAGAAAGCAAGGGCAAAGTACTGAGTCACAGTGAGGACAGGTGCAGGCTGTGGACCTGTAGGTGTGGGGCAGGGACTGGCCCTGGGGCTGCACGCATGCTCACGTGCCTAGTCCTGGGGCTGCCTGTGAGTTCTACAGCTACAGTTGGTTTTATTTGTCTTATTTGAGCTTCACATAGTTTTCTGAGCCAACTTCAGAGGCCTCCTGGTCATGAGGTCAGCTGGTCACTAAACCAGACATACAGGCTCCTTCTGCTTCCCACCTCCCTGGTTTTCCAGCTGCCTCCTGGGCTGGATGAGCGTTTGCTGCTGTTGCCCCAGAGGCCAAACCTGAAAATCAACTACATGGAATTTCTAGCTTTTCTTTTTCTACCTATTTTATCTCTGGCTTTTTCTCTAAAGGAGATTAGTCTCCAAACTGTGTAAAGGGTTGAAGATGAGAGATTTGATCACCTTTTCTAGTTCCAATTGGTGGGTGATTGTTTGTGTGCTCATATATGCAGCATTTTAAAATTGAACCTGTCCTGGAAAGTCTAGTCACACTATATAAAACAGACAGACTCTGGATATATGAGTGGAGATAACTGTGCCCTCCAGGGACCTTCCATACTTTGGGGGGCCCTGGGATTTTTGGGTGGTCATTACAGCTCACATGTACAAAGCCCAGAAGTGGGTGTGTTTGCACCTGAATCCTAACCTTTGTGATGTGATACTTTTTCTACTTTTGTTTCTGGGGTGAATTAAGAGGTATGATACCATAATCCTGTATCAACTGTCACCTCATTCATTTATTCTTAAAAAGAATTGTCTTCCTTTTCATTATTTCTGGTGAGCATATGCAAATATTTGCACATCATGATTAGACCACAGGGGGTTTTTGCTGTGGGAACATCTATGCTCCAGGGTAGTGGATTGGAGCTGAGCACTAATGGTGAACTTGGCTAGAAGTAGGAGCAGGGAGACAATGCATTCCGTCACTCTGTTCCTTTGAGGCAAGAAAGCAGACCTGGAGGATAGACTTCACATGGGTCTTCTCCTGGCTTAGCCCTTACACAAGGAGTAGTCCTGGGGTCAGAGCTGGGCTCCTGCAGCTGTGAGGTTTACCTTGCCTCCCTGTAGCTGGTTGACTGGTTCTTAAGTCCTGCAATTGGACAACAGTATGAAAGGAGCCTCAAGAGGTCGCTGAATTGCATTCAGGCTAGGCTGGGTCAGCACAAGTGCAGAGCATATGCTGCCTCCCAGGCACAGCTCCTGGATAATTGAGGCCGCCTAGCCATGGGTACCAACCCTTCACAGTGTACTGTGGTCTCCCAACAACCTAAATATGGGTTGCATAATGTTACATGGAGTGCTCAGGCAGAGGTGTGGGATGGTGCCAGGGATGTGGGGAAAGAAAGAAGCCCCAGGGAAAACTTGGACTGAGAGAGGTCGTGGGGGCATGCCCAGAGGTGAGAGTTTCTTGCCATGGGCTGGTTTCTGGCAGATGACCTGGGAGTTGGAGAGACTGACTCACTTAGCCCATCAGTATGGCTCTGCCCAGCTGAGACCATGGAGGGGCTTCCCTGTTGTATCAGGAAGGTCACAGGGGAAGGTTGCGAGGAGGCAGTCAGGGTAGAAGCCAGGTGGGAGAAGGCAGAGGCTGGTTTCTCCAGCACCCAGTGCCCTACATCAGGATTTGTTCCTCAGAGCCTCTCCCGAGGGTGAGCAGACAGCCCATGGCCAGGGAACTCCAGCCTAACGGTCAGCTACCCTGACCTGAGAGTCCCATCCCAACCAGGCTGGCAGGATCCTGAGACCTGGAGCAGGAGAACTCCATTTCAGGCAGGCTCATGTGTGGGTGAACTCCAGCCAAGCTAGAAGCGTTCTCTGTGAGTCTTGAAATAGACCACTGGTCCTCAGCACTGTGCTGCCCGGGGCCACTGTCCACCACTGACCATGTCTGGAGTCATCCTTGATTGTCACACCTGGGGCAGGGATGCTGTTGGCTTCTAGTGGGTGGAGGCCAGGGATGCTGCTGAAGGTCCTCTGCAGAACAGCCCCCAGAACAAAGAAGGCTCCAGCCCAAAATGTCAACCACTGCCAAGGCCGAGAAACTAAGCAATTTGGTCAGTGGTTTATTTAAATTCTTAATTGTTTTTTAAAATGAAAATGTAAATGTGATTTGGTATTGGCTCTGCTCTTAAACAGCACAGGACTCACCTGTCATATTTCCTGGGAGTTGGGGTGGGGGGTGGGTGGTGATGGAGCACAGTTGGCTTGCTGATGGTGCAGTGCCAGTTGTGGAATGGGGTGGGCTGTCCCTCATCTGGAGAGGTCTATGGGGCGCCCCTGCATACCAGGCAACCGCAGGCCTGCAGAACTGCTTGTGTGTCCCAGGGATCACATAGGTGCTGCTTCCTGCGTGGTGCCCTGAGACCGTGATGTTGTAAAGTGAGCCCTGCCTCGGCATTTGTCTTCAAAAGTAGTAGCTCCGAGCAGCCCATGGCCACCTCTGACCTTCCCAGGCCCACATAATAAACTGTAGCATTTTAGGCTGGTCTGTGCCCTCAACACTCAGTCACCATCTGTTTCGAGTTATTGATTTTTGTATGATGTTGCTATTTGATTTCATTTGCTTGAGTGTTATCTTGCCAACTAGATTGACTTGTTTTGTTGTTGTGCCCCTGAGAATTCTGTCTGTCTGCATTGTCTAGTATGGGGCTTGGGCGATACAAATCTAGCAAGTGTTCAGTATTTGTGGAGTTGAGCTACCGGCTTTGTCAGTGCCTTGCTACAGAATTTCTGATTCCAGCTTGAAAACCTTAAGACAGAGGGTGGGTAGGAAAAAAGAGAAGACAGGTCAAGGAGTGTTCCTTGGAGGGAGATGAGGGATGTGGTGACCCTTAGGGATTACTCAGCACAAGGGAGAAACTTCCCAAGAGCTCCTGAGAACCAGGGAAAAGGTTACCTCAGCCCCACTGGGTTGGGACCTGGAGAGGAAGGTGAGCATCAGGAGGTCACAGCGTGCAGGAGGGGGAGGAAAGCAGCAGTCCCTGGATCTGGGGACAGTGGCTTCAGGAAGCTCTTCCTGCTTGGGGACTTCTGCTGGGTCTGGGGCTGGTGGACCTCATCCAGTTCTGGAGACTGACTGTTACCTCTCCAGGCAGCCATGAGATGGGGCTAACTTTGGGGAATCTCTTCCTTTTTTGGGAAATTTCTTTCTTGATACACCCACATACCTTGTAATTGGTGGGTATGAAGGAGAGGCAAATTTTCCAAAAAAGAAAATTTCTCAAATGCAGGCTGAGGTGAGGTGGGCTCTGGGCAGCTGCACAGACAAGTAGGAGCCTGAGAGATTTGGCTGGCCCCTGGTTTTTCAGGAGTGGACGAAGTAACAGCCTAGAAACCTGGACTGCTGCCTCTGTCCTCTGCCTTTGTTTCTCTGCCTGTAAAATATTCCCCATGATTTTACCTAATTCTGCCACTGAGTTTTTGGGGACTGATGTCAAGCTGAGGTGTGGGTGTCACCAGATGTCACTAGAAAGCTCTCAGGAGGAGCTCCCAGTCTAGAAGCAGAGTGGGAGCTCCGGGAGCTTGGGGTGGAGCAGGCCAGGCCGTGAGGCTTTGGGATTCTCACGGGCCTGCTCTCCAAGGCAAAAAGATGATTGAATGTTTTGTTTGAATGTTTTAAACTTTCGTAAGTGTGCAGGAAATTCACCATCTTAATCGTTTTTAAGTGTGCAGTTCAGTGGCATTAAGTACATCCACACTGTTGGACAACCACCACCACCCTCCCTCTCCGTGACACTTTTCAACTTGCTGACTGACCTGTGCACCCATTGAACTCCCTTTCCCAGCCCCTGGAAACCCCCAAGCTACTCTCTGTCTCTATGAATTTGACTCCTCAGGAACCTCACATAAATGGGATCATGCAGTGTTGTTTGTCCTTTGCAACCGGCTGTGATCAGCTGTGTTGGTGTCAGAATTTCCTTCCTCCTGATTGTAGTAGGTCTGATGCCCTTGGACCATGACTGCTGACCCTGAGCCTCTCATACATGGAAGTCATGGAGAGACCATGAGGCCACCTTCCATGGCAAGCATGGTGCTGAGGGCCAGCCTCCACAGTGGGGAGCTCTGCTCCGTCCTAGCCTGGGGAGTCCTTGAGCCTCATGAGAGATGAGAGCTTCCTCCTGTGTAGGGGCCATGCTGAGGACTCATAGCTCAGCTCATGTCCTCAGACATAGTAGAGAAAACGGTTTTAGCTTTTGGATATGTGCTCTTTTCAGGGGCAACCTGTGAGTCTGTCAGTCCCATAAGTTATGAAGGTCCAGCCTGAGAAATTAACCTGGGGTGCTTGCGTACTTCTGTGTGAAGTAAATAAGCTTGGTCCAAAGGATCTTCAGAGCACTCCAAGAAGAGTCTAGCTTCTTTATAGTTTGCTTCCTATAGGAGAGTGTCCAGGAGGTTGCTTTGACCTTGGGGACCTCTGCTCACCTCATTCTTGACACATTTCTGCTACTTTTGGTGATGTTAAAGCCATGAGCAGCCCAAAGTTGCCTGGGCTTGTGAGAGCCTAGGGGGAGGGACGTTACCGCTGAGCCCTGCTGTCTTTAGGATCTGTCATTTGAAGTTTCTCTCCCTTCTCTGCAGATGGAACTACAGGCGCACTCTGGCACGCCCGGCAATTTTTTATATTTTAGTAGAGACGAGGTTTCACCTTATTGCCCAGGTTGGTCTTGAACCCCTGAGAGCAGGCAATCCCCTCACCTCAGCCTCCCAAAGTGCTAGGATTATAGGTGTGAGCCACTGCGCCCGGCCTTTATTTATGTGTGTCTATGTCAGTTCTATGGCTGCATACCTGTGTGGATATGTGCACATTGGACTGTGGGTTTCTGTGTGTGGATGTAACATTTGTGTACCCGTGAGGATGCATATCTATGTGTAAATGCTCTCATGTCTATGTATCTTTATTTAGTGTGTATGTGTGTCTGTGTAAATGCTTTCATGTTTGTACATGTTTAGTTCGTATATATATCTCATGTTTATTGTGTATGTTTATGTCTACACAAGTGCACGTGTAGACATATATTTGTGTCTGCGCGTATGCTTGCTCTCCATGCATCTGTCTTCTTTTTTTTTTTTTTTTGAGATAGAGTCTCACTCTGTCACCCAGGCTGGAGTGCAGTGGTGCGATCTTGGCTCACTGCAAATTCTGCCTCCCAGATTCAAGCAATTCTCCTACCTTAGCCTCCTGAGTAGCTGGGATTACAGTTGTGCACCACCACGCCCAGCTAATTTTTGTATTTTTAGTGAGATGGGGTTTTACCATGTTGATCAGGTTGGTCTCGAATTCCTGACCTTGTGATCCACCCGCCTCGGCCTCCCAAAGTGCTGGGATTACAGGAGTGAGCCACTGTGCCTGGCCTCTCATTTGTGTTTTTTATATGTGTAACTGAGCATATGTCTACATAGAGGCATGTCTGTGTGTTCATCTTTGAAGATCTACATGAATGTGTTCTTTTTTGCCAGATTTCTCTTCTCACTCCTCTTAAATCGCTCTGACCAGCCAAACATTTGTTGCCCATCTCTTTGCATCCTCTACTCATTCTGTCTCACCAAATGAGCTTCTAAGCACCAGACTCCCTCTGCCATCAGATTGGCTTCTTTAGCTGCACAGTCTCTTCTCGCCCTGTGCTTGCTTTCTTCCCCTGCCTTTCTCCCTCAAGCTTCCTCTCCTGTTTTTGTCACAGTCTCATTGCTCACTTGGAGGCTAGGGCTGGTCTGCACTTAGCCTCTCCCTTCCTAATTTCTAGCCCTAGTGGGCAGCCCTGTCTTATCCCTGGTTGACGTCCACAGTGTATCATCATGTTCCTGCTACCTTCTTGACCCCTATGCTCAGCCTAGAATTGTTGTAGGAGGTAGCAAGGGCATTCAGAAGAGTCAGTTGGATACAAGTATCTTGGTGTTTACTGTTTCATGTCTTAGTTCCTGAATTGGGGGTGGGGTTTGACAGTGAAGCAGTGGTGTAGCTAGAATGTGAACTAAGACAAACTCATTTTTTTCACTCCAAACTGACCAAGAAGTTGTATTTGCCGTTTGTGGCTACTCAAGTCTTACTGTCCAGCCAAGGGCCCCTACAATGTATCAGCCCAATAGGTTGCTTGAAAAAAAAAAAAAGACAGCACTCTCATTTATGGATCACATAAAAGATCATTTTTCCGAAAGCAAAAAAAAAAAAAAAAAAAAAAGAGAGAGAGAAATTCCCTAAACCCATAGGGGACCAGGAAATACTTAATGGATTATGGATTTCCTGTGAGTGCATATGGCTCGGGGTGACCTGATGCTATAAACCAAATGTTATTGTCCTCCTCAAATTCATGTGTTGAAATCTAATTCCCTGTGTGATGGTATTTGGAGGTAGGGCCTTGGATGGTGATTAAATTCATGAAGGCAGGAACTTTGTGAATGGGATTGATACCCCTATCAAAGGGAGCACAGAGAGCTCCCCCTTTCTGTCATGTAAGGACACAGTAAAAAGATGGCTATCTATGAACCAGGAAGCCAGCCCCCTTCAGACACAGAATCTGCTGACCATTTGACCTTGGATTTTACCATCTCCAGAACTGTGATAAATAAATTTTATATGCTACCTAGTCTATGGCATTCTGTTTTGACACCCAGATTAGTTAAGTACCAGCATATCAACTTATACACATAATTCTTGGAAACTTCGATGCCAGGTTCTTTTTTTTTTTGAGACGGAGTCTTGTTCTTGTCACCTGGACTGGAGTACAATGGCATCATCTCAGCTCACTGTAACCTCTGCCTCCTGGGTTCAAGCTATTCTCCTGCCTCAGCCTCCTAAGTAACTAGGATTACAGGTAACCACCACCACGCCTGGCTAATTTTTGTATTTTTAGTAGAGATGGGGTTTCACTGTGTTGGCCAGGCTGGCCTTGAACTCCTGACCTCAGGTGATCCGCCTACCTCAGCCTCCCAAAGTGCTACAATTACAGGCGTGAGCCACCGCACCCAGCCAATGTCAGGTTCTTAACAGCAAACATGATTGATCTGCCGGATAAATGAAATTACATTATTCCTCTCTCCACAATAAACCAGAGAGTCAAAACAGGCAAAAGTAAGTCAGGAGCTTCTAAAAGCTATACCTGAAAGGTTTCCAGTAGCAGCTGATTCAATGGTAATTCTCCCAAACAGCCACAACAAAAAGACAACTATCAGAGATTTTCAGGATAGCCTCAAAACCATGATTTAACATTATAGAGTTAAAAAAAGATGTGAAGTTTCCAAAAGCCAAACTTTATTTAAAAGTTTATTTCATAAACTGCTAATTCTAGAGCTATGAAGAAAACCCAGCCAGGGCAGGTGGCAACATGGAGAGCCCAGGGCACAAGAGTTGGGAAGGTTTGTTTTCTGTACCTGTTGGACTCACCCCTTGGTCCCCTCATCCCCTGCCCATCTGTTAAGAAGAGGCCATCCTGGGTGGGATTTCAGGGGCAAACAGCCCAGATGCCCACTTGTGGAGAGACCTTCAGGCCTGGAGGAAGAGGCCGCCTCTGGGAGCAGGAGGAGCTGCTGGAACCCTTCCTTGAAGGCTTCTTTTCCTGATCTCAGGCGCCTCATCCATGCAGATACCACCAGCACCAGCAGAAGGAAGCGTTCCTGCAGCAGCAGGACTGTGGCTCTTATGAATGAGAGAAGCCTCTCTCCAGCGAGGGAGAGGAGCCCAGGCTGCACACCCTGGTTTCTGCCTCCATGGCTCCCAGTGTGCCCAGGACTAGGGGCAGTGTTGGAGCTGCTGGCTGGGGCTATGCTGGCTACCCCCTCTCTGAGGCCAGTGGTGGCAGCAGGTGGCAGGCCGTCAGGCAGCTCCTCGCTGGGATGGTCCTTGGCTGCCCCAATGTAGGGGCAGGAGGGCTGTGGAGCTGCCTCTAGCTCCTGTGATGTCTCTGCAGGGGGCTCCTCTGATACAGTTGGCTCTGGCTGAACAGCTGGTGCTGGAAGTTCTTGTATTTCAAGTTCTCGTACTTCAGGAGCTGAAAAGGTGAAAGGGACACCAATGTGGAAACAACTTCACTGAATTGAAAGGAATTCTGGCCCCAAAATACCGCCCCCACAAAGTCTTCCAGACTGCAGGCCACCTCACCATGTGCCTGTGCCTCCATGTGCTTCAGAATTGCCTGCTGGGCAAGGACAGTATTCAGATACGGATCCGGTATGCTATCTAGTGAGACCTGGCTTGCGAGGGTCTGCCGTGGGCTGCCCTGTGGCACCTGGGTGCGCCTGTGTCCAAAAGGCCACAGGCGCCTGGGGTGAGGGATGAGCCTTTGTCGGCAGCGACGGAAAAGGCTCTCACTCCCGCCATTTTTGAAGCAGGAGCCTCGATTTGTGGGGATGCAGCATGAGAACATCTTGCTCTCTTGAGTGTCTCCCACCAAGTGAGCTGGCTACAGGGCTGACTCCAGGATATGGGCGCCTGGTTACCAGAGTTCTGAGTTCTGTTTGGGTCTGTCGTCAAGGAATTGAGGTCACTTCTTTAGGGTTCCGTTTTTTTCGGCCCCTTCCTTCCATAAGGCCTACTCTGGACTCCAGTGGGCTGCTGACTGCTTACTCTCTCCCCCAGGTCAACTCCTTGCCTGTATACAGTTATGTCCACCCAGGGTGTGCTTGGACATCTATGCCTGATATGTTCACCAGAGGCCAGATGTCCTTCTGAGGCCTGATTTCCACCTATGGCCTGATGTCTGCCTCGAGCTTATGTCTCACTTGGGCCTTGTGTTCACCTGGGGACTGATATCTAGCTGGGGCCTGAGGGCCTACTGGGTCTTGTTCACCTGAGGCCTGGTGTCCACCTGGGTTCTGGTGATCACCTGGGACCTAGGTATCAGCCTGGGGCCTGGGTATCCACTTAAGGCTGGATGTGCACCTAAGTCCCGAGTCTTCACCTGGTCCTAGTGATCACCTGGGGACTGGGTGTGTACCTTGGGTCTAATTCCACCTGGACCCTACTTATCTATAAGGCATGGTATCTCCCTGCAGCCTGATGTCCACATGAGTCTGGTGTTCAACATGGGCCTGCTGTCCACCTAGTGCCTTGGTGTCTATCTGGGGCCTGGTGTACACCGTGAATCCAGTGTCCACCTGGGGCCTGATGTCTGTCTGGAGTGCTGATGTCCTCCTGAGGTGTGATGATCAGTGGAGCCCAGGAGGTCGAAGCTACAGTGAGCCGTGATTACGCCACTGCACTCCAGCCTGGGGGACAGTGAGAGACCCTATCTCAAACAAATAAATAAACCAAAAACCACACAAATTATCTCGCTGTGTAAAAATATTTTCTTTCTTTATAAACTTATTCTATAAGCTTTTTTCTATTATTTATTTATTTTTAAACCTTTTTTTTAAAAACTAAGACACAGACACACACATTCACTTAAGCCTAAGCAGGGTCAGGATCATCAGCATCACTGTTCTCCACCTCCACATCTTGTCCCACTGAAGGTCTTTGGGGGCAGTAACAGGCATGGAGCTGTCATCTCCTATGAAATAATGCCTTCTGGAAACCTGAAGGAACTCCCTGAGGATGTTTCACAGTTAACCTTAAAAAAAAAAGGTAGTAAGCATATACACTGAAATAACAATAAGAAATATAGGATATTAAATACATAAAACATTAACGTCATTTATTATTTTTATCACACGTTATATACTTTACAAATTGTATGTTCACAGCCACATCACCACAAACATGTTGACATTATGACACCTATGATGTCACTAGACGATGCTCCATTATAATCTCATGGGACTACTGTCTCACATGTGGTTCATTGTTGACCACAATGTTATGCACTACAGGACTGTATTTTGAAAATGGTACAAATACCCTCAGAAATACACGAAAGATGGAACTTGGGGGCAACA